AACATATTTAAAAAACATAAAAACAAATATAATCAATCACAAAAAAAAAGAGATAAAACACAATATCGTCTAGTAACGTTGACTAGGTTTTCAAAATGTGAACTTAAAATTGTTTGTCACAGAGCTTAGATTACCGCAGGTATGAATCGACTGAGAAAAAAAGAATATTATCGATTAAAAAATAATTGTATCGTCTATTAACCGACCAAGATTAAGACGTCGATACACTTCAAGTTTGATAATTAAATAATACAATCGTACAATGTTTCAATAAAAAAAATTTGGCACTTAAATCTCTGTGGAAGCTTAATTAGATTTAACATTAACAAATACCAATTTTAATTCTTCTTTTTACAAATATACTATCAACATTTATTAGTGACTTTATTGATACTTTTTAGTAGTAACAGTGTAGTATATAACTTCTCGTACAAAAACAAGTATACAATTATGACATAATGTGTGCCTTATTCTCTTTGTAATAAGAATTGTTTCTTACATACGATTTTATAGAAACAACTTTTTAAAATATTTTTATTTTTGTGCGTTCATCATTTAAATTGACTATTTACATTAATGGATATTAAATGAAAAAAAAAACATTAATTAGAAAGTGACAATTTTTATTTAAAAAAAAAATATTGCCAGGGGCTATGAATAAAAAAAAGTTATAAATTTGAATTGACTACTGTTTGTTAGGTAAAACGAAATTATCTCAGAAGAACAAAACTGTAAACCGCGGTTATATCAATAACAATAAAGTTTTAGTCTTTAGGTTAATCTAGTCTAATTAAACTATACAATTTTCACGAATACAAAACAAACAAGCAGCAACATATAAACGAAATCACGTCTTTTTACATATTTTTTTTTTTAGTCTTTACTTACATACAAAATATTTACATATTGCAATCAGACTAATCCAACAAAAAAAAATTAAGTCGAGTTATGGTGACACAGCAGTCGATCAAAACCAATAATACAAAGACCAGAGACAACAAAGTTCTGTTGCAGAAGAGAAAAAAAACTAAATGCACGATTCTCTATGATACACTAAATACGATACGATTCTCTTCTCTATACATTATTAAGCACCATAATTTCTCTGGTCAGTATAATATTAAATTTTCTAAAGTATCTACACTTAAATACACCAATTCCATTTATGATTTAAAGCTTACTACAGTTGTACCGTACACGAGTATCTCCAAAGAAGTCGACAGCACTTCAAATTACTGCGAAAGACCGAATTATTCCAAGCAATCTTCAACCTTAAACCGGTGGTGGTTAAGATCATAATTGATTGTAACGACCTTTATTGTAGTGACCTGATGTACGATTGCGCGTGTATCTTGGGCATCGTCTGCCGACTATAGGAGCTACATTAGCGATGTATGATTGTTTGAAAATTATTCCTTCAAATCATATAAAAGGTGACAAAATATTCAAACGATTTTGAAATTAGTTCACAAACTAGTTTAATATTCTTTATGAAAATTGCCTCAAAAATCCACTTTGTCCCTGGCACTCTGAGACGGGACTCGAACCCGATGACCAATCGCAATCGACCGGATTTTTAAGCATGTTTCATTATGAATATTTTTCCGTATAGCTGTTCTCAGTTTTTTTTTTGACACTCTTATAACCCCACTTACTGTTGACTGTATGAACAATCATAATTTGACTGATTTTATAAAAATCGCTAAGTTATGTCAGTTGCCATTTATTTTTATTTATTTATTTTTTTCACTTAAAAGACGACAATTATCGATTTAACTTACACATAAGTTAAGTTGTACTTAAAATCATAGGAAGCCTCTTTTTTTGTAAATCTTTTATTTTTGCATACATATCAAAGTCTTTTTTTAATAATTTACAACATGACATGGACAATAAGCGCCATAACATAAAATCCGTGGTCAAAGAAAAACCTACAATATAATTAATTATTAAAAAATCATAAGAGGTAGTGATAATTAGTGTTGTAAAGATAGTAACGTGTATAATATCGGAGTCTTGAAATATAAACACAGTATCAGTATTCTCTCGAATTTTCACTTTCACTAATATCGTTAACTAAGTTCGATACTCTGTATTGCAAAACTCGAATCGATAAAAATCTGATCATTAAGGTCGACAACACTATTGTTATTAGCTGTACATAATACATACACCTATGCACGAAATAAAGTAACTAAACTAATATTTACATTGAGGTATTCAGACTATGCTATCTGGGACGAAAATACAATTACGTACTTAAAAAAAAAAACATTTATACTAGAGGAATTCGAAGAAGGTACAATGTGTGAGCAAAAACATACATCTCGATTGCACGATGTTCTGTGACAGCTGTCAGGGGCGTCACCCGCGCGTTGTCAGATTGACAGGCAAGATGGCGGCCGCCCCGACCGTCAGCTGTGTCGTAGGTAGCAATTGTCAAGGGTTGTCGTCGTGCTTTTTCTTGTCGCCTTTCCGTTGGCTGAGCTTCTTTTTCATTTCTAGAAGCATCTGTTCGAAGGTCATCGTGTCGGAGCGGCGGGACGGTAAAGTGGCTTGCCCGTGGAACGCGCTCTCCGTATATTTGGCTTCTAATCCATCTGCAAAAAAAAACATAATTAATACAGAACTGAATCATTGGTTCAACTAAATAAATAATTTAAACAAGTATCGATACCACCGAGTAAAGAAAAGACATAGGTCGAGCGACTCGCTCGCCGGGTTATGGTATGAATGTCGTGATACACACGCCTGAAAACTACCACAATATGACAGATTTCAGCAACGCATTTTGTAATGCACTCTCAATGTATTAAGGTTTAAAATGGAATGGGGAAATGGGGAAAGAAAATGGGATTTTTACTCCATACATTATAACATTAGAAAAAAGAGGAGTTATAGTGACATGAGAATCGTGCCGAAACTATCCAACCCTGCTTCTTTAGGTCCTTTACGATGAACACTTTTTATTGTAATAGTTATGAATACATTTAAGTTAGTCATATACTCATAAATTTGTTTAATAGATAGCTTAAATGACAACAGTTAAGTATAGCAGCTGGTATTTAAGTGGATATGTAGCAAATTAGCCGTCAGTTTTAAGAGTAACATGATTATTTTTATTTTGTCACAAAGTATACCATAAAAAGAACCTTGTTTAACTTCTGTCTAATGCTGTAATGAATGGAGTTTAGTATAGTCTAACATGCTGTTGACTGTACATTTGTCGATATAAAGTTGTCTAATAATTCACCTATATTAATAATAGGACATGCACACTAAGCTATACAGCCAACTTAAAAAATGAACTCAATGAAAGTTCCAACTAACACTTGGTTTAATTCATTATTTATTTAGATAATAAATTAAACCAAGTAATGATACAACTGCATAAAACAATTATTAATTTTGTCTTAAAATTCGTAATCACCAGCCTATTAACGTCCCCATTGATGGAACCTTCCCTATGGATGGAATCGAAGCAAATATAGTGAATCGACATCTTGATTGGGCTCATTTTAAAAACATACTAGCTTTCCGCCAGCAGCTTCGCGCGCGTGGTACGTAGGGGATTGTTTATTTGGATATCGATCTATATCATGACATGAATATAATTACAATGATAAATTGCATAGTAAACCATGTTTACTATATGGCAATGTTTTAATTCCTCATAGAAATACGCAGTCCCAGTTTCAACCCTTTATTCGATGTTTTTGATATAAAATATAGCCTATGATTACCAGATATTATGTAGTTTCCCATAGATGAAAAAAAATATAAATCGATCCTGTATCCACCAACAAATAAATGTTTTGAATAAAATAATAATAATAAAAACGTAGCCATTTACAACGCCATCTTTGCATAGACATTTAATCATTCAAAGCATACTTTTGCTCTAAAAAATTGTGACGATTTGTAATTTTACGAAAACTAGATTAAATAACCCTTTATTTAATTTCCCCGAACTAAGGAATTCGTGCCCGTTAAGAAATTATACTAATTATTATATATTCTGAATTTTTCACAAACGTACGTATATATTGAATGATACATGTAACGCTATCTATTGTGGTTTATTGTGGACCCAGTGGCTATGACAAGTGGTCAGCATCAAATCAAAAGTGCTCTGAATGAAGAATATTAATATTAAGACAGACCTAAATCTGCGTAGCTCTGCCGACAGAAGGCGCGCCGCCCCCCGAAGCCCACGTCGTACTGCGGGTACGCGCCCGCCGCCTCCACCGCCGACCACGCGTCACACGCGCGCTTGTACGTCACGAAACCGTACCGAGTACTGGCGTACACAAATAAACACATCACATTATTCCATCAGTCCATGGTGGCCTTCATCATCGTACGCTTATTCATGTCCCTCGGCGTAAATGGCAGCATTGAACGCATGTAGTAAACGAACAAAACTTTTTCGAACTCTTTTGGTATCTAACGATTCTTTTCCTCTTACATCCAAATATGTGACAATGATGAACTTTGTGAATTTAACGTTTTATATTAATAAATAAAAAAAATCCTATGGGTGCTAATGCTGAATTCCGAGAGAAAATCTGCGAACTCTGATATTAAAGTCTAAGTTAGCAATAGGACAACGGAACGTCACCACCTCAAGACACGCCTATCTTTTTTTAATACATTATTATTCCTTGTCATTTATAACTTCATAAATGATCACTGATTATTATGGCTTATCAACTTCCGATAGATAACACGCTGTCGCAGCCAAGTGGTATAATCGGCCGACCAATTGGGCGACTAGCCCTTTAATTGAATGGTGTCATTCGATTCCATTAAAGGGCTAGGCCGCCTAATTGGTTGGCTGATGATATTACTTGACTGCGACACACGCGATCGAATAATAAAACAAAACTTTTTACTAATGTAATCTAAAGTATGACATAAGAATTCATCTGTTATCTGTCCTGCTGATTACTGAAGTTGACAATATTAGATAACATGAAAACCGATAAATCACAAATGGGCTGTCTAACTGAATCTCAGACTGATGCTGTGAAATATTTAATTCTTTTTTTTTTGCTATCTTTCCTGATTTTGATCTACGATATGAAAAGATATGGATTGTTGTTTTATTGATTGATTCAGTGCAACAATGAATCAAACAGTATTATTTAATTAGGTACAGGTATTTAAACTATTATTTCTCTAAGAGAAATTATTGAACTCACCCATCCTCCTTGCAGTGAAGCCGAACTTCCATTACCGGTCCAAACTTCGAGAACATACTTCGCAAAGAAGACTTGGTGGCGTCTTTTTCGAGCTTTCCAACAAACACTATGCGTCTTTCTTCTACAGGAGTGTTGCTCTCTCTATATTTTCAGATATGATCAGTATTTTAATAATACATAGAAACAAGAGTTCAAAATTCTAAGTGATAATTTGACATTTTAAAATTACTCGACTAGCTGAGCTATGATAGGTATAAAAGTTATTTTTTAAATTCATGCATACTATGAAAGGGTAAGTTCGAAAAAACAAACTAAATAAAAAAAATTGACTTCATTTAAAATGAATCAGATATTCTGACAAACCTGTCTTCAGAACTGTAACTCCTGTAGCTCTGCCTGTATGGCTCGTCCTTTTTGTATGGACTACATGACCGATGTGAGGAGTCATCAGATGCCGACGATGACGAAGACGACGAGGACGTTGAAGACGATGAGGACGAACTGAAAACAAATAAAAAACCATAAATAAATACAACTTCAAAAACAATGCTCAAATCCTATACTAAATAGATAAAAATCGTAATAAAACAAACTCCCTCGAGACTATATAGAAAAATTCATTTTTGCCATTAACACGACTGAGAATCATCAGAGACAGCCACATCTTGATACGGGCGTGTGAAAGACTCCACATTTGAAATATATAACTCAACTTACAAAAATTTTTAATTTCCAATCGCATCGGCTGCAAGTGATTTAGCAATATAAAACATTACGCATTATGTTACAAGTAATATTGCATTGTATATTTGTTGTTACATGATCAAGGTATCTTATCATTCAGTTGCAATTATCAGATATGAAATTTTAATAAACAACAACCTACCTCGTTGATGAGTCAGAGCTTTCGGATATAGTTGGCTTTCTCAGAGGTGGAGTCATTGATTTGGGTTTCTTATCATTCAAATTGATCTTTTCTATAGAATTCTGAGGACTCAGTTTTACTTTCTTCGGAATAGGTGTTTTCGAGCGTCGTAGATCGATTTGTCTCGTTCGCGAACTAGACCGGCGATGGTCGTGACGTAACGAGGGCGATCGGCGATGAACGGGACTGTGCCGGCCTGACACCGACCGGCGACCGGACGGCGACCGTCGCGGTGACAGAGCACGACGCCGGTACGGTGATCGTGATCGGCGTTTCCTCCTATACGGTGAATCTGAACGTCTGTATCTGTTATAACGTCCACCGGAGCGAGACCTACTTCTACTCCGGGATCTTCTTCTTCGACGACTCCGCGAATGGGAGCGGGAACGACGTCTGTTCTTCGTTTCGTATTTATCTTTAGAACGTGGCCTTTTTTCTTTTGAAAGTGAGCGTTTTTCAACCACTTTTTCTTTTGGTTTGACAGCGATAACTTTTAGTTTTTCTTCCCTCGGTGATTTGCTTTTCCTCACAGGGCTTCCTTCACTGGACATTGACATGTCACTGTCGTTTCGTCTACGGTTTACCACCATTTCCTTACTTACATTAGTGGGCACATTAATAGGGACATTGGTTACCTTTTCCACAGATTTATACTTCATTTCAGTCTGAACAACGGTGGTGGATGATGGAGGCTTGATTCTATCCTTTTTTAAGTATAAAATAACTTTGTCTTCGCCGTGTTCGACGTTCATATCGTATTCGCGAACTATCGGAGTTTTTACATATTGGTATTCCGCTTTTTTGTCTATAGCTGAAATTGCTTTCAATGTTCTATCTAATTCTTCGTTTACATCTTCAGGTGCTTTCTTCATTACGACATCTTGTATACTCGCAAACAGCGAATTACTTGCGATTTTCGGATCAACTTGTTTCTCGACCCTTTTCAGTGCCGCTGTTATATCCCTGTACCTTTCTTTGTCAATTTTCGTGTCTTGTTTCTTTTCATCGATAGTACATTTTTTATCTCTTCTCATCGGTTCAAATACATTCTGTTTTAAGACATGATCAGTTTTTTTTATTTTGAAGTTTATGAGACCCTTGGTGTCAGCTTGTGGCGATTTCGATTTCCTTTTCAAGTTAACAGATTCCAATTTTTTGAAAACATTTTCATCTGTATTAACACCAATACTGACCAATATTATCTCTTCATAATCAGCAGGTGCTTGCGGTCTCACTATTGCGACTGGAATAGCCTGTTCTTCAGTGGGTGCCATACCAACCATTTTCATCATTTCAGCATCACTTATCAAAGGCTGCAATTCAAGATTTTCTATTTTTGGGATCTTACTCATTATATCTTCGTCGCGTTTTCGCCTTGCTTTCTGTTTCATGGTGTTCATCAGAATCTTTCTAGAGGCTTCACGAATAGGATCGAATATCTTTTTTGGTTCAGGTTCCGTTTGGCTTTTGATCTGCTGTGGACCATTTTGAATTTGATTCATTGTTGATTTTAGAGTTTTGTCTATATTTAAATGTGGTAAATCAGGGAAAATAGCTTCTGGACTAACTGTTGTAGAACTATTATTTGAATTGACCCTTCTCATTTTATATTCATGTAAATTTAATTTCTTTTTCTTCTGTGGTTGTTCCGTTTCCTTTTTGATAGTAATTTCAGATATCCTTTGAAGTTCCTCATCAAAAGGTCTTTTTTCTGTTTTAACCATTGTAGGTGGAATTTGCACATCTTGTTTGTTTGAAAACAAAGCTGTGTAGAAATTATCTTGAGGCTCTTCTTTTACATTTATATCACTTACACTACTTTCTTTGACTTGTTCCTTACTATGTACAGATTTAGATTTACTACTACTAACTTCTATGTCCTTAATTTTTAAAGTTTTTACTTCTTTCATTTTAGTTCCTTTTATATTGTTCGATATTTTATCATTATCAGTTTTTTTATCACTTGCACTAATATTTTTGGATTTTTCACTATGTTTACTTTTATGAGAGTTTTCAAAATCACAGGAAAGTATGACTTCCGATTTATTTTTTATAGTTAACTTAATGCTACCATTAGAACTTTGACTACAGGGAGTATCACATGCTTTAGAAGCATTTTTATTGATCACAGAAATGTTTTTAACACTGTCACTTTCTACACAGTGTGTAGGTGAAAGTTTTTTACGACAAGTAGCTTGTGCTACAGGTTTAACAGGTTGTTTTATACTTTGTTTTTTTAATTTAACATCACTGTCATTACGATTGTTCGCACCTTTTTTGTTCTTACTGTTACTACTTTTGCACTTTTCACTTTCATCATCACTGAAATTGTAAACAACTTTTTTATTTTTGCAAGACCTATGTCTTGAGTTCAAAATTCTGCTGTTGCTAGATAACACTTCGGGCTTCAGCAAGCTTTGTCCTTTTTTCAATTTGGGAAGACTTTGTTGCTTTTTGGAGGTACAGTAATCATGATCAGAATGAACAGGACTAGGCGATCGTCGCAGTGTAGCATTTATTGTGGACGGCATCTGCAACATTTAGCTATATATAAAATTGTTCACGAAAAAGCTACTGAGTACATAAATACATGCCAAACATTAAAACTTACCAGTATCTGTCGCATTTTATTTTTATTCAGCTGAACACCTGCATCTTGTAGCCTCATTCCATTTGTCAAACTTGTTTTGTTAACAGTCTTAACTTTTGGTTCTTCAGTTTTCACAACTATTCGCTTAGTCTTTGTATTCAGTTGCTCTGTTGCTTCAAATTGCTCTAAAAGTGAGTTCAAATTGTTTGCCTCTAATACAGGTACTACTGTATCGTTGCATGACTCTACATCAATGAAATCGTCTAATTCAGTCTTAACATCAGTAATAAGTTCTGTCTTAGGAGGAGTCGACTGGGATAATTTTTCAACACAAAATTCTAACACAGTGGGTTTTTTTGTTTGTTTTATAGGCGTAGAAGTGCGATTTGCTTTTGTTGGCATATTAATATCTGTTTCGTGAATAGTATTAACTGACGATTCTATTGGTTTTTCTATCTCCATATCTTGAGGGTCAAAGTCGTCTTCATATTTAATCATAGATTCAGATTCAGGTTGACTTGTTATAAGAAAACTGTTGACATCTTCTTCTGTTAGAGTGTGGGGAATGTCGTCACTTTTATTAGCCAGATTATCAGATTTGTCAAGGGCAAGATCAGACAAGTCCAAGTTTAGATCTTCAAAACTCAAACACGTTTTCGCGTCATTAATATCCATACAAATATTATTGGGAGAATGTGGAAGAGAGCAAGATCGCTGTGTGTTTTTCAGTTTTGTACATGGTAAGTCTTCTAATAAGAATCTCTTTATATTCTCAATATTACGAAGTCCTTCTAAATCTGAATTATTTACAGTGATATCTCCTTGAGGTGCTATATTGACATTTTGCTGCGGGTTTATCTCAATTTTTGGTGATTTCTTCACATTAGATTGGGAAAGAAGCTCATCTCCTCGTGATGATGGTGTTTCAATGCAAAATCTCTCTTGTACTTTGTGTTTTACAAAAAAATCATCTACATTTGACATATGAGGCGTCACATCTTTGATAAAATACTCATCAACGTCTTTGACAACAGGTTCATCTTTAACTTCAAATATGTCTTTATTATTGTCAGCTTTTATAAAATAATCATCGACATTTGATACTACTGGGGTCTCCTCATCACTATTAAATGAATTTTCTAGTATATCTGATGGTGGACCATCAGGGTTTATATACTCAATTTCTTTATCAGTATAGTGACGTATGCTATAATCACTCTGTTTTATCTCTGTAACAGGCAGTTCCTCATCTTCAGAAGAACCTTCAAGATCCAAATTGGGATCTACAGCATATACTTGAATTATGTCATAATCATCACCTTCTATTAGAGAGTTATCCTCAAGATTTTCAATCTCTGCTGAGTAGGGCTCATATAGTAAGGAATCTGTGTCTCTCGTTTCATAATGTACTTCTTGAACCTCAATTTGTTCATCATCATTTTCTTCATCATTATCTGATGAGTCTTGACCGGATTGTGAGACATCAACCTGTAATAGAAAAATATATATATATAATAAATAGAAGGAAAAATGAGGATATTAAAAAAGGTACTTGAAACTTTAAAATAAACTAAGAATATTTTATCCATAAATAATACTTACTGCTCTATTTTGCCAGTCTTGATCTTCATTACTCTCTTCTTCGTAAGGGGCTCTGTCATATTCAGAGTCTTGCCTCTTATACTCTGGGCTATTCTGGTTACAACTACTTTCTGAGGAAACAGAATTGCTTGTCCTCATTATTTTATGCCCAATCGTTCGGTAACGGGATTGGTGATATGGTATATTCATGATGTGTGACTCCATCTCTGTCTATAGAAAAAAAAAACTGAAATTAGTAACTAAGTTCGGTTTAAATGAATAAACGATATTATTTTTTTACTGCTAAAATACAATGATTATTCTTTTATTGAATATGGACAACCAACAGCATATATATTACAAGATTTTACTGTCTCATACTTGACTGACAGAGTGCTGAGGATTGATATCAATGGCAAAAGATCCCCTGGATTGAAAGTTAAGATGGGTGTTCCGCAAGGCTCATTCTTGGTCCTTTCTTGTTTTTAATTTACATAAATGACTTGCCTAATTTTGTAAGGGATAATCACGAAATTTTAGGATTAGGTTAGGTCAACAGCAATGAAATTTATATATATTATTTCCTATTCATATGATATTTGAAAATTATCAATATTTAAATAATTTTCACTAAAATTACTAAAGTGCAATCTAAAGAAATCCTGTATAATATTATTTAGAATAATAATAATTTGTTTTATCTATGGGAAAATTATAATTTCTATTTATTAGTGAAATTTTCGCTATAATACTACAGAAAAACAATAAATGCCTTTGAGATGTGGTATTGGCGTTATTTACTAAGATCATCATCAGAACACGGTCTGTTCTAAAGAACTCAAAATTCAGGAAGTACTTCAAATACTTCAGCCACATTGCCTAGAACGACTAATGGTGGCAGGAAAGGTAGAGGTAAAAAGAGCTACAGGCCGAAGTCCAAAAAGATAGACAAAACAAATATCTGAACAACTTGATATATTCATATACTCGCCACTGGACAGAGACTTGCAGTTGATAGCCTAATAAATTATGTCAATCCATAGCAGTGAGGCAATGAGTCTAAAGAGACAACCTATACTAATATTATAAATGCAAAAGTAACTCTGTCTGTCTGTTACTTAATCACGCCTCAACCACTGAACCAATTTCTATGAAATTTGGTATGGAGATATTTTAATACCCAAGAAAGGACATAGGCTACTTTTTACCGCGGGAAAATGACGCATTCCCACGGGAAAATAATCAAATAATAACTCAAAGGTGACTGACTGACATAGTGATCTATTATCGCACAGCCCAAACCACTGGACGCATCGGGCTGAAATTTGGCATACAGGTAGATGTTATGATGTAGGCATCCGCCAAGAAAGGATTTTGATCAATTATATCCCCAAGGGGATAAAATACGGGATGACATTTTGTCAATTTTAAACTGATCAGGCTGAGATTCTGTATAAATAAGGCGTAGGCATTCTCTAAAAAAAGGATTTTGATTGATTCCACCCTCAAGGGGATATAATAAAGGATGAAAGTTTGTATGAAACTTTGTCAATTTTAAGGGCTGAGACTTTGCATGAATAAAGCTACTTTGACGTAAGCATTCCCTTAAGCTAAGACGATAAAACTTTTTTTTCAGGTATTTTACACAATATAATGAATAAATATTCATTAGAAGTGCTGTTCAAAGTAACTTTACCACGCAGATGAAGTTGCGGGCAAAAGCTAGTTATATATATATATGATGTTAGAGCATAGTGAAGTAGTTAGATGTGAATAATTAATCACAATTAATCAAATTTTTTTTTTTTACTTGGACTTAATATTTACAAAATTGGACTTTATGCTTAAATATTATTATTGATCTAATTCAAAGACATTGAATATAAATGATGTTAATTAATATGGTAGATAGGAGAATTTTTAGTTTTTATAATTATATACTTGTTACATATTACATACAGATATTCTGTAAGTGTCCCATAATTAAGGAAAAACAACACCAGAGAGATAGTATGGTAGTTATGGATTATCAGTATTCTGGTATTCTTCTTCTTTTTTAATTCATGGCCTATTTGTGTTTACACAATTCCACCAATGTTATGTTTGTGGTCTTTACACATAAAGAAACAATAATAAAATACTATGTCAATTTTGAATTTTAATATATGTATATATTAATATAAAAAAGCCCTTCTGTCCAATTAGATAGAAAAAAAGATATTTATAAATTAAGAGTACTATTGATTGCTAGGAATTCAGATAAAATTTTGAATGGGCTGGGATGAGGCTGTTAGATGAGGAACTTATGACGGGAGCAAATCATAAAGGAAAATGGATAAATTGAGACAATTAAATAAAATATGATTCATGGTTCCTTCTTCAATGCCACAATCACAGTTGCCTTTAATTTTTAATTTGGTAAGTCGAACTGGGGAACACATGTCCAATTCTCAGGCGACAAATAATTGAAATTGTTTTTTTTTACCTAAAAACTTCTTCTTAAAGAACCAGGGCGTGCTGGGGATACTTCTCTGAATGTCAAAATAATACTGGTCCGCTCTATTTCAAGTATTTTCCCAATCAATATTCTACAACCTCATTAAATGTTCACATGCTAGCACATAGAGATTGTGGTATTCCTAGATAAAAAGTGTCCACTGCTTTAAAACATATACAAACTTTTTATGAACTTTCATTTAGTTGACAGTCGGTATTATTTTTAATAAGTTGACAGAAAAAATGTCTAGTTGATTAATTACTTCAATTGCTAATGTAAACAATACAAAAAAAATAAAAAAGCTATAAAACTCTTAACAAAAAATGTTATTCAATATGTATTGAATGAAAAGAAGAAAATAATAAGGTATTGTATACATATATTAATAATTTACTTTAGAGTTGCTAATTCATAGACTTACTTTCTTTGATATTACTTCAATTTGAACTAGATAATAGAAACATCTCTGTAATGGTATATGTTTATAGCCCAAATTTAATGTTTTTATAACAAACATTTAGTTCACAATAATTTGTCCAGACTAGTCAAATATTTTGTATTTGTTGATAATATATTTGGTTTGGCCTTAATGTGTAACTATTTAAGCAAATCATTATATAAGTTTAATATTAATGATTCATAAAAATGTAATTAAACTAATAAGTAACTTGAAAAAAATATAGTCTTATAGGTATATTACATTTAAAAAATATATTATTTAACTTTTTAGTTTTATATTTTTAAGATGTACTAATTCATGATTTAAAATGCAATTCATGATGCACAACCATCTATTAGGAACATAGGTGATTGACACTCAGTATCTGCTCTCATAAATATTCCAATTTTTTTACCACAACATATTTTTGAGCATCAAACATCATTTTGAATCTAAGTAGAAAAAGATTAATAATTGGTGAAAGTTTAAATAGGAATCTGGGTGTATGAACCTGTGTAGATAAGGGCCAAAATACCATCACATGCGACAATCATCCATCTGTCAACTAACTGAAAACAATCCGCGATATCACGTGATTCACTAAAATTTTATTTTAAAACCACTAATTAAACAATAAAATGAATAACAATCACACGCGCACTCCGTGAGGCTAACGGTTTTACTGTACGATCACCTCTTGCAAAAAAAATTGCACCAAATAATGCAGCGTAGAGGTTATGTTCACGATTACAAACCAATTTTTCGAGTTTACAAAGCCAGGAGATTGATAAATAACATATGAATATTGGCTAAAACCGATTATTTTGCCGTTTTATTGTAATTATTTGGACAAATAAGGCCAAAACAAACAATTTTACGATGACATAAATCGCCCGCGCTAACCTAACCTTGGTTGCGGGAAAAAAGGTTCATACAGATTTCTAGTTCAAGGTCCGTTGAAAAAACTGAAAAGTCACATGAAAGCGTTACACAAACAAAACTGATATATCATTGCGACCCGCACAAAAATCTATTTTAAGACAAACAACAGATGAAAAAAGCACTAACCTTTACAACCTCAAGTGACGGCTTTATCCATGTAATTTTGTCACGCTTACTAGTAATCTTTTAGCACTATGTACAGTTCATCACACTACCACTATTTAGTTTTTTTACACTTCCTAATACACCACAATCCATATAATAATTGTTTTTCATATAAAATTATTACTTCACGAAACATCACATGTTACGAACTTCACGACAGCAAAATTCCGAACTGATGTTGCCACTACTGAAATTTAAAACGTCAAAATTGCTGACACGCACTGTCTACTTGTCGAACGAAACGCGTTAAACAAACAGTTTTTTTCAACTTGCTCATTTTGTATAAATCACTTCTCAGCAAAATATATAGGTATTTTCAACTTTTGTATCTGTTCTAAAAAATTACTCGTAACACGACTGCCTTTCAGAGACGAACACGATACACTGACTTGAGCAAAAATGTTTGTTACAAAGAAACTTTAGAGGGGATGCAGATACCCCCCTCGCCCTTTAAGTTCCTTTTGTTTTCCAGGTACCTGGTCAATGAAACAATATTACTTATATCCTGAACAATAACTACAGGTACTAAAATACCTTTTCTAAGGATTCATTGTAAACGCTTAGGATAGAGCTTTTACTTATTATTTATTGGCAATAACACCCTTAAACAAAATCTTCAAATGTGAAACAAATATCAAGTCCTTATGTGTATTGATGAAAGCACTAAAATTTGAAAAAAAGACATTGTTTTTATTACATACTTATAAATTAAATTTAAATAGGAAAAAAAAGCTTTTTTTTATTTCATTATTATATTTCGTATTATTTTTTAAGTAAATGTAGATGTAGATCAATTCTCATCGAACGACGAATATTTCCATGTCCAGTTGTGATGCCTACTTTTATTGATTTTATTGATCCACAATTTTTAAAAGTGCTTTGGCTTATACGGATTAGAAAAACAAATGAATACATCTGAATGAATTATTATCATATAATTGTAAACATAAAATATAAATAGTTTTTTAGAATGTCTCGTCACTGTAGCCGTGAACATGTAGTCACTATAGCAGAAAATGAAGCATTGGATATAATAAGAGAGGAGCAATGTTCCCCAGCCATTTCCTCAGTCAAAATTGACGCTACATCCAAAATGAAAACATTGGAAAAGTCGCGCACTTGTGATTGTCATTGTAAAAATGAGACTGAATCGGTAAAAACAAAGATCAACACCGAAGAAATCAAATCCATATTAAAAGAGAAAGAGATAGCAATGAGACAAGAATTTGAGCAACATCTAGCGTCCGAAATAACGAAGCTGAAAAAGAAATTTGATTTCATTTTGCAGTAAGTGTACCTAAATATTTTTTAACTTATTATATATCTATTGTGAAAGATATAAGGGTGTTATTCCATCAAGAAGATTGATTATTCTGTAAAACTACTTTGTTTAATAATAGAATAAGTATTCCTTTTTTCATACTTCAGTCTTTGCCTCTACATGCCACCTATTTTCAGTTTGATCATTTTTCCATCATAAGATGTCTTTGTATGTGTTCTTACTAGCCGAACAACTTCCCAACTGTATTTTCACATCATTGGAAGTTGGCATTTCACTGTGCCATTATTTTAATACTAGATGCCATAGTTCAATTAGATACATCTCACTCAGAAACATGTGCAATGCCATATCTCACAATTTTCGTTAGACACAAAGTAGATAATGTCATCTAATAACGCTCATTGATTTGAAAGCTCAAATATGTTAAAATCATCATTGATATACCTATATATAAATATTCTTTTAAGAAATGAAGAGGTTCGAGCGTCACATATGCTTCAAGAGGCTCACAGGGAGCGTCAAGAGAAAATCACCGCTCTACAAGCTCAACTGGAATGCAAAAACTTAGCGGGTTTGATGTTCGTCATGTGTGCAGAACGGCGCAAGAGTAAATTAGAAAAGTTGAGACTAATTGCGGGTTAGCTTTGTTTTAAATATGGTCTCGGCTATATTTCTAGTCGTTAATATCCTGCAATCCTCATTGTGCCAGCGTGGTGGATCATGGCCCGTCCTCCTTAACCATCCCTAAGGAAAGCCTAAGCCCCTGCAGTGGGGACGTTAAAAGGCTGATGATGGTGATATTCATATGAAAGACCTATGCCCCAGTAGTGGGGACAACAATAGGCTGGTGATAATGATGACCTAAAAATAAACCTTTTTCGTACGTATGTACATATTTAGGAATTATCCCAAAGATTTCAATAGATCATAAGATAAATAAAAAGCCTTATCTCAAGTTTCTATGCGCCATACCAAAAGTTACTCTAGTAATACCGTTGGTAAAACGCGAGTCGGGCTTTATTTAATTTACAATTACATTAAATATATTTTACCTCGTGTGTTCATAAGTTTTGAGACAAACTTTTTACTGAAAAAATAAAATAAAATGTTATTGGCCATTATTTTTTTTTACCGATTTTGAATTTGGAATGTTAACTTTTAGTTTATTTGTATCGCACTCAAATTCATTTGTTTATAATTTCTCGTGATGGAGGGAACGAAACAATTACGTGCAACTGTCATTTCGCTATTTAAGGCGGGATAAAAATCGATACAGATTTTCCGCAAGTTGAAAAGTTTTCCTGTAAGCCCTAACTTCGTCTATTACATACACAAAACAGCGGTACAAAGAGACAAGTTCTCTGCAAGAACGCCAAAGGAGAGGTCGGCCACGCTCGAGGATGCCTGCGAACTTCAAAATCATCCAACACTGACTTCGCCGAAATCCATGCCGCACTCAGAAGAAACTCGCTCTGCAGACTAATATTTCATGCGTTTCAGAGAACAGAATACTGAAATACGTTGCGCGAAAAGTAACAAGTGCTTGAAGGATTCGTCAGTCCTGTTAGGTCCTGGGTAGCTCAGTGGTTAGAGCAGTCGCCCGGATTGCGAAAGGTCGTGGGTTCGATTCCCATCTCAGGGTTCCAGGGACCAAGTGGGTTTTTTAAGCATTTTGTATAAAGAATAATTTTCAGTATGGCATTGTAAATGCAAAATTAATCAAAATATAATAAATATTTTATTGTTGATTAATGTATATTTAATAAATACTGAAAATTTTAGAATATAAGTTAATTATTAAAAAAGTTATGAAACTTTTATTTCGTCACAAAACTTATGAACACACGAGGTAATCTAAATTACTCTAATCATATTTTTGTACCAATTTTGTGACACACACAAGAGGCATTCTAACAGAATATGTAAATAATAATAAGGTATACCTATTAGAAAATCGAATCAACTTACAATATAACTTCTAAGCATAATACTTTTACCGCTCCTAAATGGATACATTCAAGAATACGGGTCTTTTGAATTTTTCCATTTTTTCATTACATTTACTCATCGATTCCGGCAACCTATGATCTTATTGTTAAGGTTAGCCATAAAACAATCAAAGAATTTTGCATGCAGATGTTGCTATCTCTGATTAGCAGAATTCTATTGTCATCGCCAATCCCTTTTTGCAAGAGAACCTTTCTTTGTTTATCCCAAGGATGTTTTAACAATAGATGCAAACGTTTCAATAGTATAATAAACTTTTATATCCTTTAACAAAAGTTACTAGAATTTAATATTTTTAAGAAAAGATAACAGACCGTCTGGTAGTTTTGTAAGCCACGTCGACTTTTAAAAAAGTTTTTATTTTTACATTCAGGAATTAGTTTATTTAGTCCAAAACGACATGGTACTTGATTAATCTTTACTTTTGATTGCTTTAAATAGATTTCTAAACTATTTAACGAATTGAATCAATAAATAAATATCGAACAACATCACACACATTGATCTGATTCCGAAGTTAGTAGCTTAGGCATTTTTGTTACGGATATCAGAAACAACGGGAGGATCACAAATATATACATAACTAGTGGACGCCCGCGACTTCGTCCGCGTGGAAGTCGGTATCCCGTGGGAGTGAGAAGTTTTCCCAGTAAAAAGTACCCTATGTGTTATTCTGATGTATAACCTATATTGCTGTAAAGTTTTATCCAAATCCGTCCAGTAGTTTTTTCGTGAAAGAGTAACAAACATCCATACATCCATACTTACAAACTTTCGCCTTTATAATATTAATAGGATAAAATAGAAAACACCCAGACACAGAACAGACATAATTGTTAATCCCAAAGATGTTTGTCGAGGGTGGGGATTGAATCCACGACTCTCGGCGCAATAGTAGGAATGCTACCACCGCGCCAATTATTTCACCTACTGGAAGCTACAATATACGCACCCGCGTAATTTACACAGGCGAACTCGCGGATCTAGTAATACGAAGTCTCTTTGGCTAAAATGGATAAATAGCTCGTGAAAAACAAGGATAGGGAGAAACGTGGGATATTCTTATTAGTCGTTTAAACTTTTTGGTTGCCAAGTATTCGGCTATTCATCTATTCTGGCTTCTAGATATGAGAAATATTCTTTGCAGAGTATTCTGGTTACATCCGTGCTCTGCAGAACATTTTGACCGATGGTCAGAGTTTGATCCTCCAATTGTCGCGTGGATACAAAACTGCTGCCAGGGTCGACCAAGAATGGCGAGAGAAGATGAAAAGTGTTATCAATGAAGTAAGTTATTGACTAGTTCTATTCTATAATAATCCAGAGGGAGTATCACATAATTCTTTGAAATTAATGACGTTTTAAAACTATTTAAAGAGTTCCACTCTTCAAAGGCGAAAACCGATACCCATATGGGTAGGTGCTTGGTACGTAAGTGTATACTAGGTTCTATTTTAGAAATACACAACGAGCTAGATGAGTGGTACACAATTACGTGCAATGTATATAAATCACACATTGGTCTCGCAGCGAGGTGGGCCCGCCCCACCAGCTCAAATAAAGTTAAGAAAATCCACATCTGAATTGCCGTAAACTAATTTACTTGATATTATTAGTCCATGATGAAACGGAGCAAAAATTTGTAAATTATGTATTGAACTCTCTTAGAAAATATTTATTTATTTTAATTTAACTTTTTTAAATAATATATGAATTAATTTCTGATTTATTTCATACATACACGTACATTTTCGATAACATCTCTTTTTGCGCCATTGTATAACCTCCCAATATTGGCAGGGGCTACATTAAATTTAGGTCTAGCGCCGCCACTGCCCACCGTAATAATTTTAGGTAACTTCTAAATAACAGGCGGAAATGATATTTTATTGTTGTAGGACTTAATCCATGTATGCATATCATGATTTAATGAAAATCCTTAGAATATCACTTCGTCTCGTGTAAAACTTTGTAAACTTTATAAGCTTTTTTATTGGAAAAAATACCCACCGGAAGGATATTATATACCTACCTATCCTAAGATGTTTATCGAAATCGGATCGGATAAGTATTTATTTATAACAAACCTATATTTCCGCCAGCGGCTTCGCCCGCGTGCTTCTATATTATACATATTAAACCTTCCTCAAATCTTAATGACAACAGCATCAAATTCCGTTGTGTAGTTTAACATATCTTATTTATATTATTTTTAAATTGATACTCAAGAAGACTTCGTTAAAAAATAATTTTAAAAAAATAGTACCTACTTCAAACTTTAAATAAGTAATAAATAATACTTATCTCAAAAGCGACTTATTCAAGAAAATACTATTGAAATTCGGCGGAGGTTTACTGTAGGATATTAATTAAATGATAGGGGCCCCTTCAATAGTTTTTTAAGTTTGAGGTCGGTTATATTTTTTGAAAATAAAAGTTGTTATTCCATGCTTTTTAGTGATATTGATATTTTTTATACAAAAGGTAATACTGAAAATGTTAAATATCTATACAAATAAAAATATTTAACATGGTGAAAGTCTTAAAAAAGGAGGTTTTGTTTATTTACTCATCATATCTATATATCTATACTCATATAATAAAGAGGAAAGACTTTATTGCGTGTTTGTTTGCATTGGATAGGCTCCGAAACTATTGGACCGATTTATAAAAATCTTTCGTCTACGGAAAGCTACATAATACGCGGGGAGCATAGGTTATAATTTACGCAGGCAAAGTCGCGGGAAACAGCTAGTCAGAAAGCAATTAGTTCACATTTCAAGAAAAGATCTACCTACTTTCATAAAAAAATATGCATACTTGTTGAATATAGACATTCCTCCTTTTAGATTTTGAATGAATGCAAAATACTCAGTCATTATTAGTTTTTTTTTTCCTGAAATAAACATATCATCTAAATATTTTGGTGATATCTGATAAAAAGCGTATTTTGTTTGGTTATAAAACGAAAATGACTGATTCAATTTCGATAAATTTTAAATGGAACCGCCGCGAACCATTAAGCTGTCGAATAAAATAAAAAAAAATAGATAAATCGGTCAACAATTGGCGGAAATATCGGTGAATATTCATAAAAAAATAAAATAAAAAACATAAATCGGCGTCGAACATACAACCTCCTTTTCGATTTTGAAGTCGTTTAAACAAAACTGACCGTATTAATAACTTAAAACCTCTTTTTTGCCCATGAACACCGGCCGGTGCCGGTGGACAAGCGCATCCAGTACTGTCCAGTTGTAAATACTATTGTAAAAATAATGGAAACCAGGTAGAGGATAGGTTTGTATTTAAAAAAAGCGTTTAGAAATGGATTATAGCCACGACGCTTTTTCCTATATGAATCCACTTTGTGAATGCAAATTGATCAAATACAATAAAATTGTTTATATATTTTTACTTATCGAGTTTTTCAGCAACCCTTTTATTCGATACACGTATCAAAGCGTTTAAAAATTTTACTAAGCTGCCATCTTGGGAGATCCGCCATATTAAATTTAGCAAAAATAAATTGATCGTAATCTTCTCGGTGAATCTTCCAATTGATAAAGTTCGTCATCTTGGATGGGCTGCCATATTGGATTAATAACAAAGTAATATTATACCCATATCATAATTGTAAACATAAATGTTATGTACCTAAATGAGCAAACTATGCATTTGTCATCGAAATCAAAATAAAACTAAACGGTCATTAACTAGTTATTTACAGGCAAACTATTACAATTATTGCAGAAGTGCTACGGGACCGCAGCTACAAAGTGACTCATGTATTTGTCAATAATACCTTTATAAGAGGGTATAATCACAATAAATACTATAAATTAGTTAACGTTAGTGATCAGTTTCTGATTTTTTTATCGAGGAAACTATACATTCGCGTGATGGCTGTGATAGATCACTTACAAATGATTTACTTATTCATTTGAACAAAACCGGTTGAAAGTTAATGATTTCAGTGTGAACGCCGTCACCGTTATGTCAAAAATGTTATTTACTTCTCTGTTATTTAGTTAAAATGTATTAAAATTAATTTCTATATAATATTTTCTAATATTTTTTTATTAAAATTATTTTTAGAATGTTGTTCATCATACGCTTTACTTAGACTCCAAAGTAAGCAACTTAAGTCCTTGTATTAGGAGCGTCTAAAACAACAAAGGTCCACGTAGCTGTTTTCCAGCGACTTCGCCAGCGTGAATTAGTTTATGCGACCTATGCGTATGATAAAACTTCCCGAAGGGAAATAATTAAAAAGTCGATCCAGTAAAAGGTTTCTGAGACTATTCATAGCAAACAAACAAATAAATCTTTCTTCCATATAATATTAGCATAGATAGGAGGAGCTTGATAGCACAGCGTGTTTGAACTGCAATGCCGAAGTTCAGCAACGTTCTCAAAGGTCGATCATAGGATGAGTGGTCAAAATTCGCCAGAGCTCGAGTTCCATCGTGCTTTGGAAGGTACGCCATGGTTAAGCCTTTAGTCCAAGCTGCATCTACAGTCATTAAAACCCACCAATCAGCATTTGCCCTCGTGGTGGGCCCTTTCTCCAATTCTATCCATTCGATTCATTAAGAAGATCTGTACTCCATTAGCAATGCTTTCCATACTAAAATTACAAAGAAGATAGTTTTGACTGTATGTTTGGATTAAATAGGCTCCGAAACCACTGGACCTTTTATAAAAATCACACGCCGGTAACATGGCTATAATTTACACAGATAATGTGGTAGAAGAATAACTAATATAATATATCAAAATAGTTGTACATACCAGTGTAGAGCACGCGAGCACTAGCGTCGCATCTCCAAGAAAACTGCCATATGTATCGGTAAACTTAGGTATATACTTAATTCCAAAACAAACACTTAACACAAACAAAATAACGAAAGCATTTGCAGTGAAACTTTTTTGAATGAACAGTCTGCACGTAGCTTATTCCGTAGACTGACAATAAGAATGTAATTGTTGGCCCTTCATAAAAAAATGTATTCGTTGGAATAACATAACATGGCCATATCAGTTGGGTGACTAATAACATTTAGTGCATTAATTAGTTTTTAATGAGGTTTGCATTCACATTGCTACATAAACTAATGTGAAAACTTGTTGTTGAAATAACTGATAATGAAATCAATATTAGTTTGTATTTTTATAGATGCCCTAAGTTATTAGAGTTGTAAGTTTCTCTAACCATCAGATCGTTTTACTTATACAAATACATAAATATTAACATTTCATTCTTACATTATTCCTAAAAACTTAATTTTTAAATCTGAAATAAATAATAAAGCTTTCATCTGATTTAAGAAAAAAATTGCTTGTCATTACTTTAAGTTGTTCAGGCGTCCGATCGCATAACTCTCTAACCATATATAACATGGACAAAAATGCGTGAACTTAGGTCAACTACAGCTCGGTCCAAAGTAGTTCCTTGGAGCTTATGTATACAGTCACACCCCAGCACAATATCAATGGCAACATTTCTCGCTTTATTTTAACTTGTCCACAAAGTGAATTGAACTCTATCGTCGTTGGTTCGATTCTGACTCCTACTTCAAGAACATTATTTTAATCGCTTTGTCATCAAATCAAATTCTACATAAACAGTCTATGGTAATTCTCCGGGTTCCATTTGATCGCTCCGAAGGACTGGCCATTAAGTTTTCCTTAAAAATTCCATTGCAGCGCTGATAAGACAGTAGACATTTAAATTTCGTCTTAGTATAACTCGTAATTATTAACCGATTGTCATATATTTAATAATCCCTCCAGTTTTGTAAGAATCATCGGTAATATACACATCTTTCTATTTTTGACCATATGTCTACGAATCTATAGATATATTAACTGCGTGTAATTTATATAACTTGGTACTCTTTTCCAATACAGTTGTCATCTTTTGATTGTGTTCTTAGACCTGTCTAGTAGTCGGGAAAACTCGACAGATTTCATTGAGATTGTTTATAGATGATTGACTTAGCAGAGACTTTACGAAGATATACGTTTACATATTTCATATTTAATTAATAATAACTTATACTGGATTTATATGATTAAATTTGATTAAATTATCATGTTCTCGCCGGATGAATTTTTTACCAACTGACGATTACTAAAAAAATTCAAATTACATATTAAAGTGAATAATAAAAATAAATGATGTTGAAGATAAAAGACAAAAAGTTTACCTGCAAATACCTAGGACGAAATAAACGGTGGTACGGCGCACCGTTACAGGTAGATTATAATCATTCAAAAGTTTTTGAGACACCTTTCTAAAAAGCTGCCTCTGCTGAATTTTCAGCGAGGAAAGGGCTCGTTCATATTCTTCGTCAGTAAATCTTGTATCAGTTTCATTTTTTTCTGTCTTTTCTTCTTGAGCTTCCTGATTTAACATTATAAAATCGTCATTATCTTCTAAAAGATTGTCGAATATCATTATCTTCGTCATTTTCCATTATCTCTAGATGTCGGTGATTCGTCGTCTCGAATCTAAAACGCATGTGTCCTTAAAGATGACAATCTATGAGATCGTGCCATTTGCGAATCTAGGTAACGAGCTTTTGCTTTATGAATTGTTTTGATTACAAAGTCTACTTAATCGACTTTGACCAGATTCCCGACTTTGCGATGTTCAGACATTCTTTTTAAAGTATCTTAAATTTTTTTTTCTTTGTAGTGGGTGATTGAGTGTTAACATTAAAATGAAATTGTTATCTAACATGTTGCATTTGTTTCTGTCTCAATACAGGGGACTGAGTTTCACGACATGTACTTTATTGTCGGGCTTATTTAGTTTTACTATACTTATAGAAAGATTTGACTGGTGTCGTTTTCAAGGTAGCAACATCGTAAGATATATTATATCTAAATACCTTATTAATAAGATACTGAATCCAAGATAAGCTAACTATCAAATGGTACCTACCGTACCTAACTATCCAAAAATAATAATAATCAATTAACTACTACCTACTAAGAGCAGAATAGCTGTTTAGAAAAACTGTAAATAGAAATAATACCCATTATTTGAAATTAAAAATGTTGAAAGGACCTACAAATCATTTTTGAATACATATTCATCGATATCCCACTTGACTAACGAATTAAGTCTTGTTTTTTTTTGACCATATTGCGTCTGTGGTTAACTGAGATTATTTTCAAGTTTTCAGTGACAATCGCAAGATTAAGACAAATCGATTGACATAAGAATTAATAAAATCGCTCAACACGTTTGGTCTCTACAACGCCACATAGAAACCAACATATGTACATAGACTGATATACGCATTACCCTCCGCAGTCGGATAATAAAAAATATATTACACTCACTCACTATGCGATTGTACGTAAGTTTATTGTGCATAAAAACAAAATACATATATGTGCATAACCGAAGACAGATATTATTAATAATTATAAACAATAGTAATATACTTTTCAATGCAGTTGCTCATAAAGCGCTATTTTTTTAATCCATTGTAAACACCGAAAGTGAGTCTTTAAACACGTGTTAAATAAAAATGTACTGAAATCCTTTACTGCACACGTGCTTAAAAGTATTTTTTTAATTTTTTTTGGCCGAGCACCAAATAAATTTCAAAAAAATTGATGAACATATGTCAAACTTTAGAGGCAAAAGTATTTCAAGGAGCCTAGAACGAATATTTTCAAATAAAAATGTATGACACGAAAACATGTTCAAATATCACGTTTAATTTTAACAAATAATGCATACTTAGTTTTATTAACCTATATATTTGTTTTATTTCCTCGCAAAAAGCATTGATAAATATTGTAAGAAACTTGAGCGTAAAAGGTTTTTAAAACCTTACTTTCCGCACTCGTATCTTAAATAACTATTATTGCACTCAATATGATACATATTGATTACAAGAGCTTATTATGTAAGAGATTTAGTAAACAAATGGCGGCCTTATTGCTAAACAGCAATTTCTTCCAAGCAATCTATGGTGAAAATGGATAACAAATAAAGATAAAACGGGGAGTGGGTGCAATATAGATACGGATAAATAAATAGCGTTAATATATTATAATAAATAAAAAGAATGTATACATATGAAATGAATTAAACAGATTTATAGTGAAAGAATAATATGAATATAGTTTAAAGATGTGGAAAGGAAATGATTTCTAACTTAATTGCTAAAGGATCCCAATGATCGAGCCCTCCCGTTACCCTCTGGAAGAGAATTCCACAGACGCACAGCATGCACAGCAAAAGAGTAGGAGTAGAAATCTGAGCGTCTATTAATTTTGCTTTTTCAGGCGTATACAATATTGTAGAAAATAAAAACTAAAATAACTTATAATCTACAAATTCTTGAACACTATAGGCATATATCAGTATAAGCCATTCCTTTTATTTTTGATTTGATATCAAAAAACTTCATCATGCCCTGTTCGACCAATTTGGTGTAGGCGTCCTTTCATCTCCGCTCTGTTCTATTGGATGTCATCCTTCCATCTCATCTGGGAACCTAAGATCTTTTATGATTGGTCTTCACTCTCCATGCCCTGCCTGCTCCATGCCCTGTTCCATGAGTCACTCTTTCACGCTATATGTCCTGCCCTCTGCCATTTGAGCTTTGCAATATATCTCGACTCATTTCTTGTTCATTTGAAGCTCGTCTACATATATAACTTAGGTGATAATTCAATCTTAACATGTATTGAAGCTGATCTGACGTAGCTAAAAGGTAACCATGACACCTCTGTAATTAAACGAAGCAACCCCACCGTATTTGAGGTCGTTCCATTTGTCTATACAAGATCTTTGGCCTAGATAATATGCAATTATAAAACCATTTAAATTGTGTAGTTATTTAGTATTACTTAACAGATTACTATTACTGGGCTTATTACTTTTACTGGGCTTGTTTCTTTCTTTTTATTTTTTGTAAATTCTTCATGTATTTTTTTTTTATTTGTTTTTACGCAAAAGGTTTTTTGTTTTCTTTAAATTAGGTATTTATAAAGCGGTTTAACAATTGACATTTTGGGAAAGTTCCTTCAATTAGCAGCTAATGATTATAAACGTGAATGGTTTATTGTGATTATGGGGATACTTAATTAGACAATATTTGTATGAATTCCATCGTGACCAAAAACTTTGGAATGCCAATTCGCAAATTTATCATATTTGGTGAAAAACATTTTTTCCTATTGAGTTCGTTTTAAGCTGGGTAAACTTCACTTATGTAAAATGAAGTATACGTGGCATAAATTATTATATAAATGTTTTTGGATTTACTCATCAAGACCTTTAATTTGATATCTATATATTCCTATCAATTACTCATCCGCCATATTGAACATATAAATAAACAGTAGGAATAACAGATGAGTTACTCGAGATGACATAAGGTTTTAATCACACTTTCAAATCCGTTATGATGGAATAAAGAAACTCACATACAATGCGTAGGTAAGTAACTCGCTTTTTTGCAGTCGTGTGAAAATAAACAGATCCACCCAAGAGAGTAGTGAGTAATCCGCACCGATACGGGATTACGATCAATACTGTCTTGATAAATTGCTAATGTTATATACTTACCATTTTATTTTATTTTATCTTTGATCTTGTAGAACTATGATTATTAAATTGCCAGACCGCTTATTTAAATTTTTGATATGAAGTCCTCCTCTCTATTTAAGTGTTGCTGTGCCGAACAGGTCCATAGTTTTATTCTAACATTATTGTGTCGTAACATCTATGTAACACTATGATTTTGCAATAAACATTTGAGTTTGATTTTTGACCCGGTTTTGGCAATTTATGACCCTGCAGTGGAAATGTAAAAGCGATAATTATGTTAATGAAGAAAATATCAATATATCACTGTAAATGCAATTAAATATCTAAGAGTTTTAGTCTTCAATGATAATGAATCTTGGAATATGATTTATTTGTTTTGAGAAAAATCGACTTGGAATAAACATTTACTATTACTATAGCATTACTTTATTGGTTATAATCAGCGTCGGATCGCTTTCAGCTTTATTATTTGTTGTTGTGGAAAGTTTTGGGTATTAGTACTTTTTTTGGTTTTACTTAATCCAAAATACTTTTTTAGCCATGGCTTTATTTTGTTAGTGTAAAGTTTTTATTCTATCCACAAATTTTTAATTTACTCAATGTATAAACGAAAACGCAAAAAGTTGCATTAAAAACGCTGTTAGAATAAAAGTCGAAAGTACATCGACAACCTGGACCACCTTAGGCACATGGCGACTTACCACGTTCTTTTTTAATAAGAATGTCGACTTACCACATTAAAAAAATGTATGACCTTTGGCACATAAAGGGATTAGTTTTGTCATAACGTAACATTTAAAAAATTGTGTACATTTAAGTTATATATTTGCTTATGCGTTAGTTAGGACGCCTTGAAAGCCAAATGGCCACAAAGGGGTAACTACCCTAAAATGATAAAGAATTAATATGTTCCCATTAAACTGATGTATCAACAGTTTCAAGCCTACATTCAAAATTTCTGTGGTGGCACGCCGGATACAAGCCAGTACTTGCTCGATCTACCTGCGTTGCTCGAAACAAAAACCTCAATATACGACGATCCTAAAGAAGATCCCATCGAACACGAAGAGGAAGAAACACCTCTGCATCATACCGGTGAGGAATACTAGAATTTAATAAAAACAAATTAAGGCATCAGGTACTGCAATGTCCGACTATCTCACTTAGGTATCAAGGCAACTGCCTAGATTGCTTTTATTTGGGTACTCTAATTTATTTGAACCTTAAAAATGCAGTAGCAGAAAAACTTACTGTTGTTCTTTGAACGTGAATCTATGTCCGCTGTATTAAAAAGTACAAACTTTCAGACCAGCAGTACCTAAGGATTTATTTTGTAATTGGCAAAATTACACTTATTAATCTTACAAAAATCTTTTACTTTTAGTGATTTTTGAATGGTTTTTATTTTTCGTTCCAGTGTTTTATCTTAGGCGCCACGATTCAGTGTTTTGCCTAGGCCAGCAAATTTCATTGAGCCGGCGCTGGTAACATAAAAAAACAATGATATCGTTAAAGACGATCGAATAATTGGCACTGAAGAGGGCGCCTATAAAATATCCTACTCATTTTCAATAGATTATTGATTGATTGAGTCCAAATACGTTGTTATTTAAAAAACACATATGAACTTATGAAATGCTTTCGAAAGAAACGCAAAGTGACCTCTACTTGATTTTACTCTGGCATTGTCGCCTTTGTCATCGTCCTATCCTTTTATTTGTCCTATCCGTTTGCTAGAGCGAGAAAGATAACCAGCAAGAGATAGCACGCCGAGGAATCTTCGACACGGTAGGTAAATGCAATACGTTATCTTTCTCACTCTAATATATAGCTGTTCTTAGCAACAGAAAAGGAAATGACAACGGAAAATCGAGTTGCCGTACTGTCTGGTATAGTCCAACCCATAAGCATTGTTTTACGTTTATTTATACTCTCTGTGGCCGACACTTGGAATTAACAAAATTTAACTCACAAACAGTTTTTGACGCTTGGTTTCGCTTTGCCTTATGATTTTCTTCTCGTTTTATGTGCAGCCTTAATTTAGTCCTTGACGAAACGCTAGCTAAGTCGCTACCTGGGGGACAATTCTACTAAATAAATTTTGTTTAAATCGAATCGAAACCGAACGAAACTACAGTTTTTAATGGTTTTTCTAATCTACTAAGTGACATACGATACAATCCCAGCTAAAATAGAGCTAGAATTGTATCGTATGTTACTTTGTAGAATAGGAGAAACATTAAAAACTGTAGTTTCGTTCGGTTTCGATCCGTTTTCGATTCGATATAAACAAAATTTATTTAGTAGAATTGGCCCCCTGTTCTAGAATTGTTGTGATTACTAAAACTAATCCTTGCAACAAAACTCGCAAAACTGAGAATATGAATGAAATATTAATGATTATAATTAATTTTATTAGAAAATAGTACAAACAGCCATTATTAATCATGGAGAAATATTAAGTTTATTCATAGTTTAATTTCTTTACTTAGCTAAAATAAGAATAGAAATAAGTATCATTTTTCACGCCACTTCCTTTTTCATGAGTCCAGCTACCTACAGTAAGATGTTCTTGCTACCTGCTCGTGTATTTCCTAATCCATGCAACCCTCTAATGAAGAGGAAGAAATTTATGTGTTTTGGAATAGATATTTTAATAAAAAAAAAAAATCTTTTCCAAAACACATAACCGAATAAAAAAATTGAATAAGGTAATTCATTTAATTTTAATAACATTAAATGAATTTTCTTATTCTATAAAGTGTTAAACTCTTTCCCAAAAAATGTTCGAAAGCTTCGCCTGAAAAGCCTAGCCAAACAATCGCAAGCACCAAGAAAAATACCACGTGTAGGTTCAATTTTACACTCAGTGGCCTGTTTATATCATAGCACACTAGTTATTTTACCTTGTAGCTTCGCGTAGATAATAGAATAAAAAAAAATGGTCCAATAGTTACGAAACATGTTCAATACAAACAATATAGTATAGATAATAGTAAAATAATTAAAATTTCTTATTGTTTTTAATTATCAAATAAAAACGCATTAAAATATATTAAATAGGAAGATTCCATGTAGGTGGAATAACGCAATAACACTAGTCTGTTTAGAAAGTTAATTATTGCCAGGATTTTAGCTTTTCGTTTTTGCGTGACCTCACATAAATCACGTGATTTATGAGGTCATGCGATTTTCTCCTTCCTATAAAATATCAACGTCGAACACTGTCACACCATAAAGGTCCAATCAAATAAAACGGACATCAAAAGGTAGTAATCCTATTGAAATCGGTTGTATTTGATCAAACCTGCAACAGCTCTATGCTTGACGATGAATTCCACAGTATTTTGCAGAATAACAAAGCAGCTCCATTAGGTACACACAATTTTGATATAATTTTGTCCATTTACTTACAATAAGCATAGTCTAGTCTAAGCTGAATAAAGATAAATAAATGAGATTTTCTCAGTAAAATTTCAACATAACGATGTTCCGATGAGATGTAAAAAACAAACAAGCAAACAATCACACTTTTCCATTTATTGAACAATTCTAAACTACTGGGCTTGTTTCTATCTTTTTAGTTTTTATGTAAGTTATTTTTTCACGTATTGTTTAAAATTCGTTTTTACTCAGTCGGGTTTTTGTTTTTATTAAAATAATTTATTTTTAAGTTTTTATATTACTATGGGTATGATTCTAAAACTAGGATGTATTGAACTTTAAAGTGTAATTTATCTTTATATTTCATCGATAGAATCTGACACTAACAAGGCATGGTTCGATATGCTGGATGATGAGTGCCGGCCGTTCGTTGTGTTTGGTGATATGGGGGACTTCAAGCCACAGCAGAGACGTAAAGTACTGGGGACCGTTAAAGCAGCCAAAACAGCGCCCGAGTATTGGAAACAATACGGTGAGAGATCTACTTAGAGGAGTGTTTTTTTTTAATTTATAACACCACGGTGGTATTAGATACTCGTACTTAGTAATGTACCTGATACAAAGATATTCCAATTATAAAAAGATAATAAAATATATAGTAGACTTTCAGAAGTGGAATTTGACGATGTTACATACGATCGCAAAAGACGTAAAGGTTCGTTTTCGCTTTATATACTCTATATGAGAATCGAATCCTCGACTTTCAAATCAAAAACCAATATTTAAATGAACTTTAGCTTTGTTCAGAGTATAATAATTATTATTCATTAAATATCGCTTACATCACATCACATAACCTCTCCTCTCTAACGGCAAAATCACAAGATTACGTAGCTTAAGCGCCATTAATATACCTATCAGATAGTACAGTAGGTCAGGAGGTTCAATACTTCATGTTATGGCAAAAAAATAATTATGTGCCATAAATGCTCAATTTGTCGTGTTCGATATTATGTTCCATGGTTCTATTCCGGTTGGATCGATGTAGATTTTTTCTATATTCCAATTTCTATAATACAAGGATTCTAGCATGGTTGAATAATGTTTTGATATCCAAAAATAAATAAAAGATACAGTCTTTGCGTTATTGTTACTGTTTCGATCAGCCTATTAATCTAATGCCTGTTAATCTAGTCTTTCTAGAGTACTTATAGGCCTCCAAAGACAACACTAAGTCGATTAAACGATAATATTATTACAGTTTTCAATGAAATGTTCCTGAAGTCTGACTGCTCGAACGCCGACTCCATTAAAGATGAGTATCCAAAGAGGCTGCCGTCAAAAACGGATCGGTGGGAATGTATTGGAGTGCAGACCGAGGTGCCTAGAATGGTGTGTAGTGAAACGAATCATTAATAAATTTATTAATTATAAATTATTAACAGGTCATAGGAGGGTAGCTCGGTGCCGCGGTGGATAAGCGTCGCAGCCCGCGATCGTTGTTGTTATGCAGATTTCGCAAGGGTCGGTCACCGGATAGGTGACCAAAAATGTTTTTCTCGCGCTATTCCGTGCTTTGGAAAGCACGTTAAGCCATCCCGGCTGCATTTGCAGTCGTTAATACCCTCCAATCCGCATTAGAACAACGTGAAGAGACATGGCCCATCCTCCTAGACATACTATCCATAAGGCCTGAGCTACTGCAGTTGGGACGTGGAAGGGCTGATGATGGTGATGAATAGGGCATTACGATAGAATAATCGGCACAGTGGTTAGCGAGCTCGGTGAAGTTGTGCAACATTCGCCGGTTATATGATGGGTGATTAAAAATATATTGTATTCTTATAGTTTCACGAGCACTATCCATATATGAAACAACTTTTAAACGGTTTCAACGCGTTTGTATTAAGTTTTATTAACGTATAAAACTAAATACAAACGTGGAAAACTTTGCAAAACCAAAAGATACAGTTAGTTCATACTGTAAATATTAAATCATAGGGAGCAATTCACTTTTCTTGTCGGAGTTTGTTTCGCCAGTTCTTCTCAGACAAGGCTCCTAAAGTTGGACCTGTGGTAGATTACGGTAAGCAGGGGTAAACAAGTCAAATATATTTAAAAAAAAAATCATTCAATAAATGTAAACGTTGCCATTAAATATAAAAAAAATTGTAGAGTGAATGTGTCCAATAGTAATGTTTTGAAGGTAGCTATAATCTTAATTAAAAAGACAGTCAACACCTTAGTGTTATGTGAACACGGAACCTGTAAAGGGTCTGAAATGTCAACAAAACTCAATACAAATGCGTTTAAACCGTTTCATTAAAAATATATATATATATTATCTCTCCTTCGTACTTCAGAAGACACGTCAAACCGTAGATAACGGCTGTAGTTTTATTGATTTATCGAATATTAATTGTACTTATTTTGTGCGTTTTATGGAGGTTGCTTTCTTACATCTTTTGATGGCGTTTTCGAGTTCATAATAAATAATGTAAAAACATAAAAAATATCATTAGGAAACGTAGTTGTTTGCGTTTCAAATGTTATAATTTCTATAACATTCAAAATATGAACATGGAATTTTTAACTCACTTAACCAGTTGCACAAATATCCATTATAATTATCATTAGTTTAAAGCGATATAACCGATACAAATTTGACATTCATTAGACCTTAAAGATGTCATTCAACCTTAATGGACGTTTTTGCAAATCCTATAACGAATTGTTGTCACGTCACTCTTTGTTGTATGAGCTTTCACTCCTTTATATCATTTGTTGACGACCTATTAATAGTTATATGCATTTGTCAATGATGTTTTTGTCCCTCTTATCTTGACCCCTTTATGTGTCTTACATACAATGGAGGTTCTCATAGTTTCTACATATTTTTAAAATAAATACTTTTCAAAATTGGTCTATTGATAAGTCTTCTGCGAATTCGTTATCGAAAATATCCTTTACCGTTTCAAAACAATAAACCTCCATTTTTAAGGCAAAATTCCTTAAGAGATTAAAGGTTTTTGGTTTCTCAGTTAGTTATTATAATAAAACAATAATAAAAATGAAAGAAAGGCTACAACAAAAGAACCTGTTTTTAGCAACCCGCATGCGCAATAAAGTCTTATCTATCCATACAGGTAAACTTTTCTATTCAATTGTAGTCATTGGGATTTACTACGCAGTGTTGCTTTTCTAGCCAAGTTATGTTAAAAATAATAATGCTAATGAAATCAAGTCAGTCTTTGAATGTAATGTTTATTTGTCTATAAATACGAAAACATTTTTTTTTTATTAAATATACAATTAAAACAAATTAATTACAAAAATTTCGGTATTGCGGGTTACAGTGTGCACTCTTTATAAAAAAGTTTAGTACGTCTCACCTCTCTCAGGCATAACAGTTTATTTGGTATTTATTTATTGATTTCCTTAGGTACACAGCGAAATTACAATCAAAAATATATTAGTATAAATAACATGGGTATTTTGAAATCTCAACTTTATGAAAGTATTGAAAAGGTAAAGCTTAATTTTATTAACAAAAACATATTTAGTACCTAGTTAGCGTCATTGAGAGCCTCGGGGAGATTTTTAAAATACCTATTATTAGTAGATATTAAACATTTAAATGGTGTAAAATCCATTTATAGTGTAAGTTCTCTTGCTTATATATTTATTTTTAAAAGCATCTGAACAACTGGTTAACGCATCAGGAAGACATCGAGTCTTATTACACACTAGCTTTTTCCCGCAGCTTTGCCCGCGTATGATATAGCTTCCCGTAGGTGAAAATAATTAACATAATATCTCAAGATAGTTTTCCTTGTAATATTACTTGTATTACAAGGAAAACTAGAACCAGAAAACACATGATTTAATTTCACGCGGATTTATTGCCGTATATTCTCCCAGTCAACCTTGATATGTTTTAGAGAGAAACAGATGGTGGGGTGCACAATTTACATAGGCATACTCACATAAAACACTATACATAAAATATATACATTGTACATATATTATTAAACAAATATGTATATACGAGGGTCAAACTGAAAGTTCTTAGAAAATCAAAAACTGATTACATTAGCCAGTTATTAGTTTTATTATATCTTTTCAAAATATTGTCCATTCACGTCAATACACCGCTGCATGCGATGGAACCACTGGGAAAAGCACTTTGCCCACTCGTCCTTAGGGGTCTCTTCAATGGCATTGCGATACGCAGCCACCGCTTCTTCAGCATTCATAAACCTTTAAGTTTTTCTTTAATTTTTGGAAATAAATAAAAATCACAAGGCGCGAGGTCGGGGCTATACGGCGGGTGACCCAGTAATTCAACGTTTGATGTCGCCAAATAGTCGATCGTTCGCTTGGCGGTGTGCGACGAGGCGTTGTCGTGGTGAAGGAGGATCCTACTGCGAGGTCGTTTCTCTCGAACTTTTTCCAAGACAAGTGGCAAACAATTGGTAGTGTACCATTCTGCAGAAACTGTTTTTTGATCCTCTAACACAATTGTTGCAAAATGACCTATCCTTCCAAAGAACGAGGCCACCATTTTTTTTCCCGCACTTCGATCTCTCTTCACTTTAGTTGGCAACTCCTCGAAAGGAAACACCCACTGAGCAGATTGTCTTTTGGTTTTAGGATCATAACAGTAAATCCAGCTTTCGTCACCTGTTAGTATGTCGAACACAGCATTTGAGTCACCTCCGTTAAATCTTTCAATCATTTTACGACACCAATCCACACGATGGAGTTTTTGAGCCTCAGTCAAATTATGAGGTATCCACCGGGCGCAAAGCTTCCTGACCGCTAAATGTTCGTGGAGGATTTTGTGCACTTGACTCATACCGATGCCTAAGCTTGTCCGAATCTGTTGATAGGTCACTCTTTTGTCAGTCTCTATCATACGCCGCACAACACAGATGTTATCTTCAGTCGTCGCCGTAGAAGGCCGTCCCTCACGTAAATCATCAGTGAGATTAGTGCGACCACGTTTAAACTCATTAAACCAGTTGTAAACAGTCGCACGAGATGGGGCTTCATCGTGAAAGGCCAATCGTAGTCTATCATAACTTTCTTGTTGACTTAAATGACATCGAAAGTCATAAAAAATCATTGCACGAAAATTTTCTCGTGTTAAATTCATGATGACGTGACACAGACAATTTTCAATTTGCCGCCAAATCGTAAAACAAATGACAAATGAATGAAATATATACTCAGTAATATTGGCAAAGAGTTATATTTTCAAATTTTAGAATTATTTTTTTATTATATTGTTTATAAGTGGCCAGTTCTAAGAACTTTCAGTTTGACCCTCGTATAAATACGACTTACGTTATATCTGTTTACAGTCGATCGACCATCGGCGTTTGACTGTCAGCAACAGCTTAAAAGGAGACATGGGATCAATATTGAGGATAATGTATGTACCTATATTGTATACCCGTCTTAACTCTCAATTTAGAAGCTCAATGCAATGGTAAAACTAATTATTTCAAGCTCTGCCGTCCTTTAAAAGGTACGATGCAGTAGCTCCTGCCAATTTGCATCGAGGTTAGATATAGCCCATCTTCCAATTTGATTTGATCCATAGGGAAGGCCTGTGCCATTGTATGGACAATTATAAGTTAATGATGGAATGTCATCATAGCTCGCTCGAGCTTAGCTCGCGTGGAAAAAGGAACGTAACATATTTAAGTAAAACAAGTTTTTTTTTTTTAAGTAATAACAAGCCTATCAGCAGGTTTCTGAATTGAGAAAAGTACAATATCTCAAATGATTATTCTCATTCCATTGAGTTTTTTCGTTTCACAACTCCAAAAAGTCCTAATTTTATCAAACTGCTATCACTTATATAAAAAAACTAAAATAGAGACGACAACCTGTTCTTAATTTTAAATTCTCAATCCAGAAAACGTTGTACCTAAGTCACTTACCAATCGCCAAGCCATTTCCTAATATAAAATTGCACCATAACTAAAACAACTACAAACAAACACATTGCCCAATTTATAATATTATGGCATGGATATTAATGAAATTACAGTACCCATAATTTTATTTTTAAAATTTTATTTACCATCTCGTGTTTCAAATGCTGTTGGCAATAAATTTTTATGGGTTCAAAATAAAAATGCAGTTAGATCGTTACAGAATAAAGATTATTAGAAAAAAATTGTCAATTTATTAAAATACCTATTTTATTAAATAAATTCTGCATTAGACTATAAAGACTTTCTATTCTACTACTTATTTCCTTAAAAAAAATGGAATCCTGTGTATGTATGTGTGGACTAAATTTTATGCGGAAAATCATATCTAATCATGTACAGTACTG